ACACACCTGAGACACACACCAGAGACACACACCAGAGACACACCTGAGACACACCTGAGACACACATCAGAGACACACACATACACAAAGTAACGTACCACTCCACCGATCACCAGAACCGTCATTGATGCTCGGGAGGTGACAGAGACAAGGCCTGTCGCTATGGAAACCACCATCTCATCCTTAAAGCTGGAGGCATCCTGCAGAGACACAAAGTTACAACAGAGCGACACTGACGAACAGCTGCTAGGGATCGAACCTCAGAGACCTGACCTGAGGCCGCGGCTCGCAGCTGCCCAGTGCTCGCTTTGCGTTGGCGGCTCCGATGAAGCGAGTGACGAGGGCGGTCCAGCCCAGAGAGAACTGAAACTCGATGTTCTCCTGAAAATCTGCACAGAGGACAGCAAGGCCGAGGTCATAGGTCAGCTCGAAGGAGCTGGAGGAGGAAGCAGAGAGCTGCTCCTGGACAGACAGAGACAGCAGAGGACGGACGCTGTCTGAGGATGGAGCAGAAACAAAAGAAGAACCTTTCAACCACACTGTCATCATGCAACACGTGAGCAGGATGTTGTCCAGAGTCTGAGGAAGAAGTGGGACGCTGCCATTACCGATCATGTGTCTCTGGGTGTCCCTAATGTCTCTGAGGATGCTGATGGAGCAGCGATGAGCCAAACAGCCGACCAGCCTCTCCTCCACGTGCTGGAGCAGCTTCTGAGAAGAGATGAGACTGGAACCTGTTTTCTTCTTCTTTCTTCTCTCAGACATGAACAATGACGGCTGAAGCCAAATGAGATGTCGGCTTTTACAGAGAATTTTTTATTTCTATTTATCTTCCAGATAATTGAACCAGATTTTCCCGCCATGCTGCACCGTTAGCTTCTTTGAGCCACTGCAGTTGCTGCAGCTCAGCTGCCCTCATAGCTAGTGCTTTAGCAGTCACTGTTTTGCAATGAATCATGGGGCTTGAACCTGGTCACTGGTCTCATATCCAACAATACGATCGTCTGGAAACAGACGACCCAACGTTGCCCTCTTGTGATTTCAACTACCTCTGACTTTAACAACTCAAAATGTTTGTCGACATCACAACATGTTTCACTCACAGTTTTATAGATCTGCAGAGTCTCATGTGTCGGACTGAAGTCGCACCTGAACTCCTCCACCAGGACAGGAAGTGAACGAGTCTGATCTGAGAGAGCTGAGGTCACCTGATCAGAAACACTTGAATGAACATCAGAGAGAGAAGAACGAGCTGAAATTACAGAAACATCTTTACAAACATTAATTTAACGTCTACTTTGAGTTTTAGTTTGGTTCCTGTCCCATCTGCTAACATGGAGGAGGTTTATGCTCGAAACCGCAGCCAGACACCAGGGGGCGACTGGTATGTTTTAGCTTAACTTTTAGGAGCTGTCATGTCATCCATCGTTATTGACAGTGTGTGTTGTGAAGCTACATTAGGAAGATTTCTTCACCTTGGCAGCGACATCATCACTCAGAGTCTTGATCTTATCTCTCACGTTGTCGCTCAGACGGTTAATCTGTCCTCGGACAAAGTCCAGCCGGTCCCTCTGCTCCTCTCGCTCCTCCAGGCAGCAGATCCTGACAGAGGTCAGAGGTCAGAGTCAGACACAGGAGGACATTATGAAACAATGAGTTTGTCGGTCTCCCTCACTTTCTGTCAGCAGAGGCGATGTTGATGTCGTCCATCACAGCTTTGATGGCCTCAGTGATCTGCCACGCTGTCACCGTGTGCTGCTCAAACTTGGTTTTCACCGCAGACTGAGAGATGAACTCCTGCAGGGTCAGAGGTCATTCACAGTCACAGCTCGGCACAAAGCATCGGCCTCAGAGCAAACACTGAATCTGCTGCGTACCTCGAACGTCCTCTCAAAGCTTTGAAACTCCCTCAGTCTGTCGTGGAAACCTTCAGCCAGAGCGCCACCTGCAGGTAGATACAGGATGTTCAGTTTCACTTTGATGGAGCGGTCAGCTGATCCACGTCAGGTCAGGTCACCGGGTATTATTTTAGCTGCTATAGTTACACCTGGTGCTCGAGGTAGGAGTGCTGAGGGAATTGCAGCACCCTCCCCTGGTGAGGAGCTGTCACTGCAAGGCATAATACATTTACAATCCAATGTGACATAGATACATTTACAGGTGATTCTGACCAAGCAAAACATTTAGTTCAATAATATCTGTTGTTGTGTGAAATGATTTAAAGCTGGTTTGTTATTGATACGAACGTGATGAATGTTTTTATTTAATACAACATCATGGTACAGACTTTCTCTCTGAGCCACACCTGACTGACTTCCAGCGTCTCTAAAGATCCACATGTCCCCTGTGAGATGATGACAGTATGATCACATGATCATAAAGTTTGACCTTCGATCTTTGACCTGATTTGTTGATCGATGACTTTATATAAAGACGAACCGTCAAACAAACATCAGAGAGATAAGAACGAGCTGAAATGACAGAAACTTCTGTGACAAACATTTATTTAACATCTACTTTGATTTTTATTTTGGTCCATGTCCCATCTGCTAACATGGAGGTTTATGACCTGTACTGCAGCCAGACACCAGAAGGCATTGGAGATGCTTTGGCTTTATTTTTGGGAGCTGTCATGTCATCCATCTTTATTTACGGTCTGTGGTTTGAAGTCAGCTTGTTGAACATGTTTACAATGAGAAGCTGTGATCTTTGACCTCAGCTGATCTGAGGACTGAGGACATGTTCCTCACCTGTCTCACCTGTCTCAGGCATGCCCTGCGCTCGCTGCATCCTGGAGCTCAGGACCTCTTTAGCTGAGACGAAGAAGATCCTCCCCGGAGCCTCGTCCAGACCGACCACCCTCAGCTCCTCAGCCAGGAAACTCACACAGCGGTCCAAGTGCTGCTTCCTCACCTGAGCAACAGGGGGCACACACGCTGCAGTTTTACATAACTTCACCTTCTGTATGTTTCAGTGAGGCTGTTTGTGTCGTACGTCTGAGAGTCAGTTACACGAGTTTCTCTGTCTTTGGACAGTTCTATTATTTCTTAAAGGAAAAATTCAGATCTTAACAGGAAGTAGTTCCTTCAGCTGATTCACAATAAAGCCCTTTCTTAAAGAGAGAGCTGATGCAGGCTTTTACTGCAGGAACACACACACACACACGCACACACACCTCCTCCATGTACTCGGGTTCGGTGACTGAAGCGTCCCATCTGTTGTGCAGGATGAAGATATTCGGTTTGGAAATTCTCTCACTGACTTTGTGAAAGAAAAGTTTCTCCTGAAAACAGAAGATGAAAAATTTAAGGAATAAAACTCATCTTCGTCTTTTGTCCTTCGCATACATCTGTCATTCACAGGTCGTCCTGTAGGGGGGTCCTCACCGTGTTCATCAGCGTCGACTCTGCGTTTCCCACAAGCACAAAGACGTCAGCGTCCAGACAGAACTTATCGATCCAGCTGTCCAACTCCAGAGTCACGTCAGTCCCAGGACTGAGTCAAAGTTCAGAGATGACATCAGGTTGGATTTAGTGTTTCCTGCTGCTGTGACCTTTAACTTTTTATCTAGTCATCGTAGCATCAGAACAAGTTTCTCACAAACACACAGGTAGGGAAGGAGGGAGGGAGAGAGGAAGAGAGAGAGAGAGAGAGGGAGGTTTCAGGTCAACAGTTACCTGTCCATCAGATAAAGACAGTGTTACCTGTCCATCAGGTAAAGACAGTGTTACCTGTCCATCAG